TATCTTGAAGCTGAAAAACCATTAATAATCACTTTATTTCCCAAAACTAAAACGTTAATAAATAATGTTGTTTAGCTATAACACATACATAAATGTTGTAGTTATACAAAATTTTTTATTTATCACTTAAACGATTATAGATTCAACTATTATAATCCCTAATCCACATTTTGAATCAAATTGTACAATCCGATTGTCCGGAACCAATTTCTCGGACAACGGACGAAATAAATATTCGAAACTTAGAAAGTTTGGTTATAATAGAAGAATTTGAACATACTCATCAGTCCTCGTAGTGAAAAGATTACAAATAACTATATAAATCTCCCTCCCTTAAGATTTCTTACGAAAGTGTTTTAAGTCTAAATCTAATTAAAGAATGGTAAAAGAATTTAAGTACCAATCAAAGTCATTAAGGTACCATTACCCCTGTGTTCAATAGCTTTACTGAATTACAGTAGAAATACCGGAAAAGCCCTTTCCTGTCCTCCTGCTGTCCACTGATAGTTTCCTATCGTCGTCGTCGGTCGTCGTCGTACTACTACTACTACAATTTACACAACAAAATCCTTGTAGTAACGGTTATGTACAACGCGTTAAGAGTTATTGTAACTATCGTGATGACGAGTCAAACCAGACAACGGAACAAGGAGCACAACAGGACCAAACGACACGACGCGGAGGATCAGCAGTGGTACCCAAACGACAACGAACGGACGCCCCTACGAGTTTAGCGAGGCCTCTTTCCCATGCTTTACAATGCCGAAGGGGTGACTGTGTCTCGCCTCCCTTTTTTACCGACGCGAGTCAGTCGTCTCGTCTAAGTGCCCTGGTTTTCGTTTTTTTATACGACCGTACCAATTAAATATCTGTTTGTGACGTAAAAGCGTGAAAAAGTGTTTTGCTTTTGGTGTGGTACCCTTCGAATTACCAAAACAAATTATGTTTTCTTTGCGTCCCTTTCCGACTTTTGTGACGTCTCAACCTCTGAGTCCCACCGGTCCCGACTCCCAGAGTCCACGTCCATAAAGTCCGAGGGTAACTTAGGGGGGAGACCAAATGAGACGGACGACTTTCTCCACTCATTGTCTGTCCTCTTTCCCAATATGTGCATAGGATAATATCGGTGTGGATAACCTACCCTTAATGGACAACCCGCTCTATTCCACACCAGAAAACAAAGGGCCCTGACCCTCTTTTTTTTTTTTTTTTGTTTTTTTGTACAATACCTTGAACATAATAAAACACGTCCACAGTTCCGCATACCCCCAAATTGTTTCCAATACCTGTTTTTACCGTAGCGTATGTAGAAATCTTTTATACTTTATTTTTTTAACTTCGAACTTTAGTGGAGAAGAGACCGTCTTAGTTTGAAAACTAAGACGACAGAACACCGTCAAAACGGTCAGAACGAAGGAGAGTGGACCATTGTAGTGACCGGGGAGGTGGGACATATGTCATCGAATGATGTTCTAATGACAACTATTATGTCACTAATTCTTAGTAACAAACTCCATACCGCGAACGATGAATATATTTTGTAATCATAATTTGAATGGAACGACCAAAAGTGAGAAGTGAATTCAGGGGAGAGGGAAAAACCCTGCTAGTTAGGTAGTTTTAGTCCGAACTCGATGTTGACATATGTCTGTCCAATGTATTAGTTGTATTTAGTGGTTTTTTTCCTGTGTTAATACCGGAGACGATTTTTGTGAGTGAGAATGTGCGCGTGGTTCTGAAAATATAACATAGAATTATAAATTGAGGGAGGTGGGGCCGGGTTATGTTAGGGCAAATATCCGGGGAGAAGAGATTAAAGTAGTTGCAAACCTTGCTTCATACTGTAATCTCTTGCCTTAAAATGTTAATTTTCCGCGACAATTGCGTACACAAACCGGCATTGAACTAAGGCCGATCGAAATAGACAATAACAATTTGCAAGGGATTTAGATATTAACATCCCTAATTGGGTGACTGTAGGAAATATGTGGTACGAATTAAAACTTAGTCTAAGATGACTGTTATAGGCGATTATATTTAGAAAAATTTGAAGAAGAATGGAAAAGTTTTCAGGCAGTTGCTGGCCAGGTAATAACGACGGTTGAGAATGACGCGACGATCCCGGAACCGGCGATTGAAGGCCCCCTTCTATAACTCTCCGGAGGTGCTAGGCGGTAACGATACCATTTTTTCCGGACCAGGTACCCCCTTCACTTGCCTCTACCCTGCATTGAGAGTCAGAATATGCCGCGACTCACTCTGATTCTGCCCCTCCCTTGAGATGATGTACGCTCAAGCTGTCCGTCGGTTAAAGGTTCACGACGAATGAGGGAAATGGAATCAATAAGTTAGGTTTACAACAGCAAGATGTACGAAGCCATTCTGACACTTTTTGTTCTGCCACTGTGACCTAAATCCCGTTATTGGTGTGGTTACGAAGTCCGAAGGACAAACAAACAATCGAGTGTCGTCAAATTAGTCAAGAGAACCTTGTAGAACACAAGTTGTTAACAAAATAGTTATTGGTGGTTGGACAGCTAAAACTTAGTAAAAGAAAAAAATGTGTTTAGGGAAGACGGTAACGTCAAACGACAGAAAGAATACTGAAACGGTTGAAAACCTAAAAAGAAGGTCTTTTTGTTGGAGTTGATGGAATAAATACAACTATATTCCTGAGAACAATGCATTCACATTGCCCACCATGAACTTCCGGGGAACGATTCTCGTCTGCATGAACCACGTGACGATAACCGTTTTTGGACTTCCGCTGTCGTAACTCTTCTATCTATACGGCGCTGGTCTCACTGTGCTTCATGCTGCTGATTGACAGCAGGTGGTCAGCCCACTTCTGAGCAGAGGCACACATCTCGCTGTTAAAGGTCATTTGTGGCGCGCCATGCTTCGCCCTGTAGGCGTTGTGGGTTTCCAGGAACTCCTTCTGGAAGCTTGCATCTGTCGAAGAAAGAAACATGAATAACCTATGAGCCCTTAGAGGAAACAGATCTTCAATATGTGAGGCTGCATTTTTAAAACCCTGCGGGTGTACACAGGATTCTGCCCTATGATAACACACTATGATAAGTGTTTTTTTCTTTAAGGAGAATCATTCCTGAGCAAACAATGCACCAACCTGCCATTGTGTATGTTGTAATGGAGCCTGGAATGACAAAGAAAAGAGTTAAAAATTAAATATAGACTTCAACAAAATGAAAAACAATCCCAAAGAATCCAATATATGATAACACATTCAATAATATGTGCCAGGCATAGTGTGGTGGCGATGAAAGAGTCATTTCATAGAGTCCAGGTCTCATCAAGAGTCAGTCTCAGACCCTCTCCTGTGGTGCAGGGATCTCAGACACGTACCTGCTCGGTGGAGGTGAAGGGATGTCCTTTGAAGATACGCTTCCTTCAGCTGTCTTCAAGTGTGTGTTTATATACAAAAGCAGCCCCGCCCCACTTTCTATATATAGGAGGAGCCAGACTCCCTGCCCTTGCCAGTCATTATTTCCCTTATTGTTTTTAACATGCAGGGTTTCCCACACATACTTTACTTGGGCGGGCAGCCCAGGTATATTAACAGCCGCCCAAGTATATTTTGCAACCTATTTAGTTGTTTTTGTTCGCGACCACAACACCATCTGCGATCGATTAACTTGTGGACAATGATCCCTCGCTCTAAGCCTCCTGTACCCAGTCCCGTACTGGCCATCGGGAGGACCGGGGGGTTTCCCGATGGCTGTCTACATGATGTGGCCTGCCGACATGGCCACTGTCATACAGATCATATCATTTGTGGGTAGTAGATTTAAACTAGGGCTATCACTACGGGCCCTGCCTGTACCTGTTTGCTCTGCCATCGCGTGAAGGGCCCTGTTGAACCCCATCCGCCCGCCGGCGGGCCGAAAAACGCATCATCTGCAGGAAACAGCGTCTGAGGGCTTCTTACTATTGAATAAACTATGAATGTTTCATATCCATGTAACGGCAAGAAACTCAGCTAACTGATGATATGAACAATTTTTAGCAAAAAAAAACACAAGACTAACGCTGAGCCTCTGAATTAGCCCTGAGCGAAAAAATGCTAACGCCGTTAGCACAGAACTCACCCATAAAACCCTTATTAATTATCGTAAATGCAAATCCAACATATTGATTAGCATCGTGAGAACACAGAATCGATAGGTATCTGTATCATCACTCCATGATAAGAACTCGCAAAATGAGAAACAAAAACAGACATCACAACACGTGGCATTAGGTAGCAAACATGGCAATATGTCTTACCTTCGTCGTTTTCTGATCAAACGTGGTCTTCAATGGCATTAAAACGATAAAAAACGCTGCTGAAGGTTAATCCATAGGTTAATCCAATGTGTCTGTTTCACTTTGAAATTATTTCTGATCATCCATCAGCAATAAACCTAGTTTTAAGTTTTCAGATTTCAGAGCCTAAGATAGGTTTCGCTTTAGGCAAACTGCGTGTGCATAGCCCCCACTTCTCAATGGTAACGTTGGTGTGTATGTGGAAATTCCCCTTCGATTCTATTGGCTCTAACGGTTCAAAAGAGATGTCAATCATCAAAATTGACCAATGGGTTCCAGAGAAATGGCAAAATACTGTACACCCATTTCCACCCAAATCACCCCAGAGGTGGAGTTTTGTGTTCTAAATCTCTCTAAAAAGGTCAAATGTCACTTGTTTTGCATCAATCTTGATACAGGGTACTTATTATATGTTGTACTTTGGATTCCTAAAGCTTTTAGTCTACTAACCCATCATCCAAGGGTAGTTTTCACTGTAAGTAAACAATATTTTTTGGACGGACACTAACATTTACAGTTTTTTGCTATGTTCAATCTGAATTTTCTTTAAAATAAAAACATCTATATTGATTCTGACTTTTCTACATCCAATTCACAGGTTTATCATTACTTTGAGAAAAATATTATTAATGTTCCGCTTTTAGAAGTGTAGTTATGGTCATTTGTTCTGGAAATGTAATTTTCGAGTCTGAGACCTGAAAAATAGGCTTGGGGTCTAACAGGCTAACAAGCGACCAACTGAAAGGTTAATGTTAATGTTGTTGCACTTCACCTGCATTGAACATGTTACTCAAGTAAAAAAAGTATTATCATCAAAATATAGTTAAAGTAGCGACAATAAAAGTAGTGATTGTGCAGATTGGTCCATTTCAGAATAATATATATGATATGTTTTATAATGATTGGTCATTAAAGTGTTCTCAAAGCTGGTAAAGGTGCAGCTAGTTTGAATGACTTTGTATACTGCAGGGTAGCTTGTGAATTTAAGACTTGATTATATTTCACATCATTCATCCACATCTGTAAAGTAATTAAAGGTATTAAATACATGTAGTGGAGTGAAAGTACGAGATTTACCTCTGAATTGTAGAGGAGTAGAAGAACAAAGAAGCATAACATGGAAATACTCCAGTAAAGTACAAGTACCTCCAAATTGTAAGCACAAACTTGAGTAAGTCTACTTAGTTACTTTACACCCCTACAAACACAAACATTTTAAAGATAATATTAGACATCAACTAGAGCCATTATGTTAGATGTAACTCACTCAATAATGATTGAAGTGTTTTACCTCCAGTGGTCCGCTGCCCTCTTTCTGCTCAGCAGTAGCAAAGAGTTTCCTTTTTCAACATCTCGCCACATCCGTCACACCCGAGGCAGAGAAGACCTCGCCGAAGCTGCTCGTCTGATTTCTGTGTGCTTTGAAGAGTAGACACAGTAAACACTATTTTAAACACATTTAATCCAAGCTGATTAATTATGTTTTTTTAAATGACAGGTCTGCACATGTTGTTGTATGCAGTGATGGAAGGACTAGTTTTTTTTACTAAAGTGAAATTAGCAACACAGATCAGCCAAAATACAAACAATAATAAAAATGTTTTGCTAAACCAACTTATTCAAGTCATAGAAAATACAAAAAATAAATAATAATAAAAGGAACATTCATATTACATTACATTACATGTCATATTACATATTTTTCTGTTGTAATTGACAACAGCTGTTTTTTTAAATCAACTATACATCTTATCTTAATAGTATGACAATCATACAGTACATTTACTTGTACTGAAGTCTGGTATAATGTTTGAGGTAATTGTACTTTTCTTGAGGAGCTTCTTTGTTTTGCTTCTTAATATATTATGTATTGTAAATGTTAATCTACACCACATGCATTCAATACATTTAGTACATGTATTTTGATTTAATAATAAATTAGAAAATAATGTAGTACTATATATTCTAATTACAGATGTATCTACATGTATTGATGCCTTTCTTTAACATATTCTGGTCGCAGCAGGTTGTGATAACATTTACATTTCTTAAAAGTCACAGTACAATATTTGACTACTTTTTTGTTATGAACCTATTTTTTTAAATCGTATTCAATCAAGAAAAAATATAGACATAGAATATACACACACTAAAACGGTGACATCAGAGACAAACATACAAAGTAAAAAAGAGGTGATATTTCACATAAACTAAGTTGTGATTCTCTTGCCACGTGTTGATATAATTTATTATTTATTTTAAGAGCGCTCCTTGGCGTGATGACGTCACAATACGTGACAGCGTGGAGACTTCTTTGTGGGCCCTGTTTGCTTTGGACTGCTCACGTAAAACACTTTGGTTTAAATATGTGCAGTTTCTTTTAGTGTTTCATTATTGAAAGGCGGAGTGCCCCTACTTCCGGTTCGGCTCTGAAGGCGGGGGTGTGTTCCTTCCGGCAGCTGCTCGCTCCGCACCCTGTGTTGTTGTTGTTTTTAATAGCAGTCGCTCACCGTGGCTCGTGCAGCTATCGTCCCGTGATTTCGGTGCCGCCGCCCAACGGTTGGCTCGCCGCGCGCATGCAGCAGAATGGCTCGAGCGGTCCCAACGGTTCTAACGGGTCTAACGGTTCTTCTGAGGGAAGCTGCGGTGGCAGGGAGCGGCCGGAGCGGCCGGAGCGGCCGGAGCGGCCGGAGCGGCCGGAGCGGCAGGAGCGGCAGGAGCGGCAGGAGGCTCCGTCCTTCAGCCCGCTCCCCGTCGCCACTACTCGGGTGAGGCGCTTCATCCAGGAGAGACGGGCGCTGCCTCTACCCAGGGTGATGGTGGTTTTCTCGGCCGCGGGGGACACCGAGAAACCAGGCGATGCCATGTCCGGCAGCTCTGGCTCCACTACGGCTGCCGAGGACGAGTTCAGAAAACCGGCCTCCCCGACGCCGAGCTTCGCCCTCAGCAAGACGCTCCGCTCCGCGTTCAACACACCGGAGCAGGAGGTAGGCCGAGCCGCGGTACAGAGCTGCTGGACCGGGAGAAAATCACGTGAAACCAGCAAACAAACAAGCTAACATATTGACATGATATTTAGTTCTTAACTTCTAAGGTATTAGTACTAAATAACCCATGGTAGAAGGAGTACTCACATCCATTACTTACGTTCAAGTAGTAACGTTACAGTGTAGAAAGTAAACAAGTACACATTTTACTTAAATTAATGAAGTAAAGTAGGCTACAAAAAGTAAAAATACACATAATGCAGAATGGCCTATTTATAAATTGTATATATTTTAGTATTTATTGCATTCATTATTTACTAAATGAACTTATGTGCAGGCTATCAAGCGATGAATAAAGTGTTATGTTTATCTAAATTATTAGTCATTTAGTCATTCTTTTTTGCATTAGGATTTTTCAAAGTATTAAAAAACAGCACAACATTTTCCACCTACATGCAGTGAGGTAAAGTATCTATGCACTTGAGTGAAGAAAAAGTATGTCATAATTGTACTTTAGTACAGTACTTGAGTAAGTATAACTGTCTTAATAAACAAAAGATTCATTAGTCAATAGCTATCAAAAAAAGAGAAAGTTAAAGTCAGTTCAAACTTCCATATAACAATAAAACATATTATCTCGACCCAGTGTCAGATGTTACACATGTTGACTACATTCTTAGTTCATACTGACTGATAATTTCACTTTCGGCTGTTTATGGCTATTTATACAGAAGGGGGTCAGTGGTCTTGACCCTAGGCCGCGTCCTGATTGGTCGACAGTCGTGTCACATGACTTGTGTTAACTTGGATTGCAGTTGAATAATCCTCTTATTTCTGCAGTGAAATACAGGCTATTCACAGCCCTTTGGATTCATCTGAAGAGGTGTTGAATTAGCTTTTAAATCAAACTGGGTCCGGTGATTTATTGAATTCTCTTGTCCAATAAACAACAAGGAAATAAGCTGTTCTACTTTGAACCTAGTGTGTCCAATATGTAGCGGCCTTAAATCATAAACTTCATTATCTTTAATCTGATGATTATTTTCTAGAATTAATTGTATGTTTAATGCAATTGTATAAAATGGAGAAAATCAGGATATCTATATTTCATAGGTTAAAAACATAAACATTTTATGATTTGTTTTCGCATTAAAAATACTTCAAAAATTAATCAAATATCCAAAAAGTTGGCGACTCTCTCCCATCCATGAACATATCGTTGCAGCTCAACCACCTTTCAGTAACAGTTATACTTTAAGGTTACGAAAGTGCTTGAATAAAAATAAAAACTCCTAGAAAAATTATGTATTTTCAAAAACATGTTGTGCACAACAGATGAATAAAAATGATCCTCAAAGCTAGGCGATATCTGGGCCAGCTGACATTGATTTCTTACCAAATGTGTGCCACGCTCGTGTGCACGTGTTTGTATTCGTTAATGGTGGGTCAATTTTTAAATTAAAATGTCAACATTGCAATGACAAATCTAGTGAATTTTGTAATAATTGCACAAATACAGTTGCAAGAAAAAGTTTGTGAACCCTTTGGAATTACCTGGATTTCTGCATAAGTTGGTCATAAAATAGAGGAAGCCACTGCTGTCCAGAAAAAACATTGCTGCACGTTTGAAGTTTGCAAAAGAGCACCTGGATGTTCCACAGCACTACTGGCAAAATATTCTGTGGACAGATGAAACCAAAGTTGAGTTGTTTGGAAGGAACACACAACGCTATGTGTGGAGAAAAAAAGGCACAGCACACCAACATCAAAACCTCATCCCAACTGTGAAGTATGGTGGAGGGAGCATCATGGTTTGGGGCTGCTTTGCTGCCTCAGGGCCTGGACAGATTGCCATCATCGACGGAAAAATGAATTCTCAAGTTTATCAAGACATTTAGCTGGAGAACTTAAGGCCATCTGTCCACCAATTGAAGCTCAACAGAAGATGGGTGATGCAACAGGACAACGACCCAAAGCACAGAAGTAAATCAACAACAGAATGGCTTCAACAGAAGAAAATAGGCCTTCTGGAGTGGCCCAGTCAGAGTCCTGACCTCAACCCAATTGAATGCAAGAGAGCGATTCACACCAGACATCCCAAGAATATTGCTGAACTGAAACAGTTTTGTAAAGAGGAATGGTCCAAAATTCCTCCTGACCGTTGTGCAGGTCTGATATGCAACTATAGGAAACGTTTGGTTGAGGTTATTGCTGC